AAAAAAAAAAAAAAAAAAAAAAAAAAAAGAGCTATGTCTCCAAAACTGCTGGTTCGTACAGGAAGTGCAATTTTCCCTGCTTGGCTGTAGCAAGCACCTCCTGGCAACGGAAAACCACTTTCCTTCCTCTGCTGAATGGCTTCACCTGTCTTTCTCGTTGGGTTTGTACTTTGATGAATGAGGCAAACATCACCTTTGCTAGTAATCACACAGGTTAACAGGAAGCTACAGCAGTGAATACCGGAGTCGCCTCTTGCTTTGGGAAGGCTGCTCCCTGCAGCTATAAATCACAGTGAATGGGCTCCGGACTCAGCAGAGTGGCTGCTTCTCTTCCAGCCCACGCTGACGGCAAGATGGCAACCAGGGGCCTCTGCGTTGTTCCAAGGAGATGAGGGCCGGGGAAATCCTCTTCCCCCCTCCAGCAGCACGACGCACGTTCCTGGAAACGTGCTCTCAAACGCTTGGGTCATTAATCCACAAGAGCAGCCTGGTGTTTTGGATCTTGGGATACAGAGGCTTGCTGATACAATCACTACCCACTCCAAGGACCCTTTGCTAGTGCTATGGGGAAACAACCCCTAGAAAAGAAACTCAAGAGATGTGTAATAAAACCACGTAACGCTGTTCTTCTAGCTGCATTCCTGCAAACTTGCTTTTAAGGCATCCTTAAATGCTGGATCACTCAGTAGTTGCAAATAAAGGTTGAGAATATCCATGGGCCAAAATCACTGCATTGCTACTCATCATGCTGTGTTACTAGGGATGGTTGTTTCTAATCTGGTGTGAGGCTATTTCAATGAAACGCCAATGCTCTGCCTTTAAACAACGGGCATGGCATCATGACACAAAAGGGAACCCCCTGCTCCCTCGGGACCAGCAAAGGGCCAAAGTCACCAGCCATATTGAACTCAATTTTACTACCGTAACTCCAGTAACTTTTCCTCTTCCAGTTCTCTGCAAGAACCACTGGCAAGGATGTAAACTCAGCTTTCCTGCGCGTGGTGCATCCCACACGGACCCCAAACATGGAATTAGCAGGGAACTGCCCCACCGCTACCATCCACCAGACCTACTGCTCACCCTGGAGCAGCCCAACAGACAGCACAACTCAGCGCTGCCGCCCCCCCATGATATTGCCCCTCACAACCGGGCCCCGTTTGGGGAAGTCTCAGCTCCTGCAGTTTCCTGACATGGCTCCCAACACACGGAAATCTCATTCAAAACTCTTCCAGCCTTCATGGTGTGAGAGAACAGCTCGAAAGCAGGACTCGAGTACCCTTTGGACGTTCAGAAACCAAGAGGCAAAGGGAAAAAACCAACATGAGCTACTTCGAAATGACTCCAGCTAATGTAAGGAATTGGGGCACTTGACTCATGAGCTCTGAGGGTCTGACAAGACTGAAACCTGTAAGGGCCACATCTTTCCTGAGGCCAAATGGCCTCTTCTGTTTTCCTGGTGAGTTGTACACGTGTGTATACACACATGCACACACACCGGGGCAGAAACCCCCCTTGCATTAATACGGGGGTGTAGGTCATAGTCGTGCCAGTCTAAGGACACAGACAGATGAGGTTCATTGGGTAAATCCCATACCTTTTTTTAGACCAACTCAAATAGTTAGAAACATTCTTCTTTGCAAGCTTTTGGGTATAAATACCCTTTGTTGGGCTGAGGAAGCATCTGCAGTTGGTGTGTGCTCTTCCTTGCATTAATGGCATTTGTTACGCAGCAAGAAAGTGATGCATTGAGGGATGCCGTACCATAATTCATAACTGGCTTCCCAGGCCAGTTCAATAAATCCTCAGATCGACAAAGGACAAACAGACTAGTTTTCAAGGGTCTTTGGCTACTTCCCTCAAAAAAGCTGAATTTCCCAACATTTTGGCGCACCCTCTCTCATTTCGTGGTTGAGTTTTTCTGGGAAGCCTGTTAAAAATCAGAAGGATTTGCAAATGATGGTGGTAGAAAAACTACCCCTGGAGTCCAACTGTGCTTAAATGTCTTCCCAACAATTTCTCTCTCTCCATCTCCAAAATGTCCCGGCTGAGATCCTCAACACGCTTCATTTGGTGAGCTTGCAGACAAGCACCTTCCAGATTTGTGGGGGGAGGCCTAGAGGGAATTCTCCAACGGGATGTAATACGAACAGCCTGAGATTCCTCCTATTACGGCCCTGCCTTAGTCCTGCATGCTGATTCAGGACAGCACAAAAGCACATGCTTAAATGCAAGCGTCCTGACTGTATTCTGGTCATGCCCGGAAACTCCACTTAGAATCCAAACAGCATCATGGAAAAGAGGCAACACCTTTCCAGAGGTTTAAGGGCTGCTTGGGACCAAGGTAGCTTAAAAGCGGACTCAGAAACGGCCTCCGAAGAGTCCTGCTGAGAGGGGTGGAGCTGGGGAGGGAGGAAAGGTGGTTTCTTAGCCAGACTTTAGCACGGGACTTTCCCTTGACAGATGTTTCTTCAAGTTTTCCACCACTTGCCATAGGGTCCGACTCCCCGTGCATCAGTGCCCTGCACAACTGCCCTGCCATAAGTGAGCAGCACCGTTTCATTGCTCTGCCCCGATAGTTTCTACCTCCAGGCTCTTCCTACAACCATTGCCGGCGGCTGCACTTCTAAGGAGTGATGCTCACATTCATATGGAGGAAGGTCGAATCATTTTATGTTGCCTTTTCAACTAAAAACAGGCCTGGGCGTGACCCCACGCATGGGTTGAGAAAAGAGGATAACAAATGGTGGGTGGGGGGAAATGCCGAGTCGGGTGAGAGAGACAGATGGGAAACGGATGGCAGGTGAGAGATGGACACATGGTAGTATTTATATCAGGGCAAATAAAAAGAGAAATGGATACGCGATGGACTGCCCTAATCCGGTGACTTGCACTTGAATCCGGGGTAGAAACATCCCAGGAAAAACCGGGGGTAAAGCTACCCCGGTGTAAGTGATGTCAGGGCACCATGTGTCCACCACTTATCCCTAGGTAGCCATTGGTGTGCTCACCTGCCACCTAGTGACCAGGTGCAGGAACAGCAGCCTGCTGAATGCAAACACCACCCCCCACCCCCAGCCGTACGTCTGTTCGCTCCCAATCCTGGTGTACTTTATACCAGAGTAAGGAATGATGTAAAACTGCAGCCCTCTGAATGTCCTGTGTCCTGGCCCTGAATGCCACAGCAGTGGGTCATCTAGTCTTGGAAAGGAGGGCAGGAGGGTCCTTTGCCCTTGAAGTTGTGAACGTGGGGAAACCAATGGTGACAAGGTTATTTCAGGGGCCCAGCTGGAGGGATGAGGGATTACACAGCACTGGGGACCAGACAGGTTACTTTCAGATATTTGAGCATCAGGGATTACCCTGAAGGCATAGGCTCTGCAGTGGAGTGCCAAGCTGCTGCTAGACCCCTCACAACACCCTGAGCCACCCTTAATATATCTTAAAAAGAATAAACCACCAGGCTGCTTGTCTTAATCCTCCTCATCGCAGCGTGCTGGAGGGCACAGAAGCGGGCACACGGCGGACAGGGAACCACACAGCAACTTATAGCGGATAGATCCAGGACTTCACCAATGAATACCTATGAGGAATGCCCCTGACGGCCCCAGAAAAACCAAAGAACAAATGCAGGCTGAAAGGCTTATTAAATACGCCTTTGGACTCTGCCAGCAGCCAGCACCTGAGGAAGGGGAAGGGTCCTGCTGTAGGCCTCTGAGGAAGAGGAAGGGGAAGGGTCCTGCTAGGCACATGGGGGATAATCCCCTCGCCTCCAGGGGAGCTCCAGAAGTTGGAGCTCATCTCAGGCCCTAACGTGTAAAGTAAAAGGCCCCTTGTGAAACACCCAATGACTCTGGACACTCACACAAACGTCCGCTCCTTTTGTGCATCTTGTCATTTCTTGGCTGTGGAAGTGAATTCTCAGGTCCAATTACACACCATATAAAATTAATTTCCTTCCAACGGTTATGATTTCTCCATTGCATCGCTCCTTGTTCTTGTGCGGAGCACAAGTCTCTGATCTAGCATCCTTAGACAGGTCTTTAGGTGATAACCCGAGGCGCGGCATGCACAGAAATGTACAGCACATCAGCACAATGTGCAATTCCACTGAGTCCTGTGCTAACCGTGAACGTGGCTTAAAGAGCCAGAGAAAAACAAGTCAGCTGCTGAAAACTGCCCTTATTCCAAATGCTGGTGAGACACGGGGGAGCAGGGGTTAACTCCTTTGCAGATCTCCCTGGATTCATTAAAGCTTTGCATTGTGGTCACCTGAATGGCACAGTGGACCACGAATGGGAAAGCGAGAGGTGTTTGGCCAACAGGCAAAGGAGAAAAAAGGAAGTGGAAGGTGATTGACGGAGGTATTTTTGACTGATCCATGGCATAAGTAGCAAAAACCAAGGCTTCCTGATGCATCGGCTCTCTGATGCTTTGATTCTTGTAATGCCTTGGCCTCTCAGCACTTCAAGTTGTGCCAGCGTTGCTTTAGGCAAATTAAGATGCCAGGACTGCATACATTTGGGCTAGGAGAGTTATCAAGTAACTTGACAGGTTGGCGAGTCGTTATTTAGGGACCGTTCGAGGGGGGCCTTTTCCTGTTGAAGCAGAACACAAGGGATGCAGCGTATATCACTTACGCAGAACCATGGCTGAGCGTGGTCTCAAACCTGCTGGCTCGTAGGTCATTCCCTCTTAGCTTTTGTCATTGGCTCATCATCTGGGACTTGAAAACAGCTCTTTCACATTCATCCAGGCCTCAATTCAGCAAAACACTTAAGCACGTGCTTAAGTCCGGCCTGACTCAGCAAAGAACTTAATGCCTTTGCTTTAAGCACGTGTTTATGTCTCACAGGCAGCTGTTTAAGTGCTCTTCTGGATCAGGACCTATCTGAAGTCCTAGCCAGTGAGCAAACATTAACCTGCTAAATTATCAACCAATAATCGCTAAAAGAAAATCTAATTATCTCTCAACCTTACTCTGCGTAATAAAACCAAAGAGCCCCAAACACATCTAAGCAGAGGGGAAATGATGATGAAATTAAAAATCATTCTGCCAGACAGTTTCATTGTCTCACTTTTTAAAAAAAGTTAATTTATGTCTAATAGCTACTCTACATTCCAACATCCTCTTCCTCTGACCCCAGGCACAAGTGATTTAGAGGAAGGCACGATCTTGCCGAGACCGCTGGAGTCAGAGGTAGGAAAGGCGATGTCCGGGTGCTTGCGTTCTGATCCCAGGAGTTTAAACACCCCTTTGCCCAACCTCTGTTACTGTTGCTGCCAACAGCCCCAGGTGCTCATGTCGCAAATTTGCTGCTTAATGCACTAATATACTGATTCACCAAGCTGGTTTAAGAGGCACACTCTACTCTCATTATAAGCTATGACCCTGTAATGAGCCTGAACAGCTTGGCAAGCAAACTACAAATGAACTCTATTTGAAACACTCTGTAACATAGACTTCCCTACAACCATCATAAATGCTGCCTCCTCAGGTCAGCTCTCTAATAAAGCCAGAATGTGTTCATCAGAAACCCATACAGACCTTATCTTTAGAAACTTGGTGGGAAAATGAACACGTCCCGTCAGTCTTCTTGCATGTACCACGGAGGAACCTGCCAAAGAACCAGAAAGGGGGTGAGGGAGGAGGGAGAGATTAGGAGCATTATAAACACTTCACAGAGCATGCTATTTTAAACGCAGAGTCTATCCCCTGCGCACCATTTCATCCTTGTACTAGCCCGAGGCACGGCTCAACTGAAGACACACAACTGCTCTGCACATTTTCTTCTAAGCCCATTTCACATGCCAAACTGGAACTTCTCTTTCACCCTAACAGAGCAGCTGATGCTTCTTGAAAGATTTCTATTAACAACTAGGGGGGTTACTGGAAACCAGAGACAAGCCTGTACCACAACGCTGGGAAGTAGAGTTAGAAACGCCCAAGCTCAGCAGGATTACGGGAGAGCCCAAGGACCTTGTGTTATGGGCTGATCAAAACCAGAGCAAGGCTGGGTTGTAAGTCAGAGAGCTGGGTCTGGTGGAGAGAGGGGATCAGACATGTATTTTGGGTGCACACCAGAGTTCAAGGACAACCTTCTAAAACATGAAGGCATGCAGATCCAGGGCCTGAAGTCACCCGCATCTACATGCCACAGTGACAGCAGACTTGTAAGTACAAATAGACACTTTGGTTCAGAACCAAAAATGCCAGTTACTGCAATCCTTTCATCAGGTTCTTCCCATGGCGCATGTGGCTCTACAACTCCAACCAAGTACTCTGGGCAGGGGGATTTTCTGTCCACTCTCGCTCGCTCGCTCTCGATAAAGCAGGGTGTAAATTTGCAAAGCTCTCTGAATGATTTTCAACCACAGGTGCAGGGCTTTGAAGAAGAACCCTCTCTAAAGGAATAATTCAAGGAGTTTTATTTGTAAAAAAATATTATCGTATTAGCATCTGAATTAAAATATACGTACCATACTTTACAGTTGTATTTGTTTTTTTAAAAGCTTTGCCTGACACTATGCTGAAGGAGAAGGATCTGGCCGTATCCTTCAAAGATCCCCTGGATAAAGTGTTGTTCCTCATAGCTACGAGTCTCATCCTGGATATCCCAAAGTGATACATATACGCTTCAGTTCAATTCAGTGAGCTGTCCCAGAAATAATCCGTCAAAGGCAAGTAAGATGCACCCAAAGGAATCATTCAGGGTGTTGATACCCCATGCTATTTGCTACCCTTGTCTCTCCCGGCCCGATTACAATACGGTTTCTACATAAGCAGACAGGGACATCCGGAGTGGAAATCAAGAGTCCGCATGGACTCTGTTTAGGAGAGTAATGTAGCTAAGTGTACTTTCCCTTCCTGAAAGGGACATATTTTAGGTAGGCAAAAATGATGGGTTTCTGGGTGGTTTTATTTGAAGTCTAGCAGGCAGTCCATAGCAGCTGGCTTCCTTTTGTACAGTCATTTTACTTGCAGCCTCTTGGAAGTAAAGTGTCAGGTACATGCACCCTCACCCACTGGCTTGCACACCTCGTGCTTTTGGTTCAGACATGCTAGCTCTGCCTGATGACGTGGAACTGGAAGGCCCGATCCTGCAGGGTACCAAGCACCTTCAAAACATCGAAGGATTGGGTACGATTCTCCCAGCGTGGCGTAACACTGAGCAGTGGAATGTCTTGGAAGCAGAAGGGATGTTGATGCCTTATGTGCCATTAACAGGGGGCAGGGAACACCATACACTTTCCCTTGCGCGTGGCCTGCCCTCAGCATGAAAAATCAGGCTTAGTGGCATCTACCCCAAAGCAAATTTAACTCCATGTTAAAAGGAAGTTGTCTCTCTGGGATTAGCAACAAAGCCATGCTTAACTATAGCACAGGTTCCTCCCATCTCTGCAGGAGCAGTAGGATGATGCCTGCCATATTGCTTGTGACTAAGGTCACTGGGCTCAGTCCAGGGGCACCTGGGAGAAACAACTGCCCGTGACACACAGAAAGGACACATGAGCTGAGGTCAAGATGAGGCACATGCCATCTAACTATGAAACTACAGGCAGGGCTCCTAGGAAATGGCTGGTGAGCTCAGCGCTGCAGTGACAGAACAACCCCAATCAGGTGCAGGCACATGCAGGGTTGTGAGATGACAATGGCTGCAACAGGGTCCACATATCTTCTTTCTTCTGGGGCTTCAATGAGGGGAAGTTCCCCTGAGAGAGCTGGTGCGGGCCACACCTCCACCAAAAGACTTTTCTCCTCTATGAAGCTGAGGGGACAATGACTTATTACTGGTCTTATTCTTTGCCCATTAATTGGAGGCATAACTTGCTTTTGGGCTGAAGCCATGAGGGCAGAATAAGGATAGGAAGGGAGGAGGTGGAGGATGCATTATTTCATGGTAGCTTTCAACTGCAGGCTCACAAAGCCTCGGCTGGGATGATGCATTTGGGGCTGGTCCTGGGTTGGACTAGATGTGACCTCCTGAGGTCCCTTCCAACCCTCATTTTTTCATGATGCAACCAAAATCCCTGACTACTGGGACCATCCATGTCACCTGTCCAGTGGGGGCAGAGAGGCTGAATAGGGCTGATGAATACATCACTTCCAGTGGGGCTAACCCATTTTTGCCTCAGTTTCCTCATTTGCAAAACTGAGCAAGCACCAGCTTCACAGAGGCAAATAAGCAGAAAGAATTACTACACTTAGGAGATGTGGAACTCCAAGCCCGTGGCTAAGTATGAATTTTGATCTTAACTATGCTGCGCCCAGCAACTGCTTTGATCTTTTGCCTTATATTGCAAGACTTGAGCCACTGCGGCTTTATGGATGCTGTGCTATCGACTTCATGTTTGTAAGACATGCAAGTAGTTGTGACTGCTAAAAGTGGTTTGCTTAAAAACTTTGCCAAAGAAAGCTCAGGTCTCCTCCATCTCAAATGACCCATATATTAAAGCATTTTTCTCTCAGGCACACACTAATTATGTAGTGCTCTACTGTCATGACACATGCTCTCGGTACCATATTTTCTGGCATACAACATGCCCTGGAATAAGATACACATCTTATTTTTGAAAGGCAGAATGAAGGAAAAAATGATCTTTCCTTGTGGTAACCAAGTAGCAGCAGCAGTGAGGGAGCCAAAACTGCGTGTTGCTCTACTCCTTGTGGATCACATGCAGATTTTACTTTTGCTTCTGGCCAGCAAGCAACAGAAACTGCTCTTACCATATTTCCTGTATAGAATGCACACATCAACTTCCAGCAGCCGGTTTCTGGCCAAAAAAAGAGTGTGTTGTATGTGAGAAAATATGGCGCTATGTGAATTCTTGCTGTTGTTATTTGGATGGATTCACTATGCAGGCTCTGTGTTCCCTCTGCGTGCCAGCATGCCAGGAGAAAGCATAAGGGGGCATCTTCAAACACAAATGCTTACTGTGCCTGTGTCCGTACCTGGTGCAGACAGCTACTTTCTCCGGATCGTGGATGTAAGGACAGCTCTCCCCGCGGTTACACTTGCCGAACCGGTTGTAGTACATGCAATACTCCTTCTTCTTCTCTTTCTTTTGCTTGGCTTGACGAATGATGGCTAAACTCCGCTGAACAGCTCGGCTAAATGGAGGGAAACACAGGCATTCAGGTAACACGCCTAACTTCAATGCAACACCCTACAACACGCTAGGATGCTCTCCCGCTGGCAAAGGACAGAGCTTAAGATAAGTGCGTACAAAAATCCTAGCGTGAGTGAGGAGTCCAAGAGCCATTTGCAAAAAGGCCTAAGGCATGGTGGAGCCTAAGTCTCAGTGTAAGTTAATGTTTTACCTCAAGCCCAGGACTGGGCCCTCCCTGAGGACTGTCCCCCCACTGGCGTCTCAGTATCCTGGTGCACCTTGGCTAGTGCCCAGGACAGATGACAATCCCCACCCCAGGGTGGCCCATGTGGAGTCCCCTAGGCATGTGTTTCTTTCAGACTCGGTGTAAAACTAGAACATGAAGTCCATATTGGGCTGGAAAGAGATGTCACTATTATTTTGAACTGGCCTGTCACAACAGAGTAATGGCTGATGACTGATATCTTAGTTTACAGCTAATTTAAGTGGAACGGGACAGTTCGGTGAAGCTGTTAGAAGATACGGTGCTGCTACGGGGATACACACGCACAGCTCCTTCCTCCAGTTCTCTTGACTTTTGCATGTGTTGCTTCTTTACAGACCAAGGATGAGTAAGCATCTCCACTCATCATGCCCAGTCCCCTACCAAGTGCCCGAAGATATAGGAGGCTGGCCCTATGAGCACACCCCAACATAACCTCTGATCCGGAACAGCAGATCTGCCTGGGAAAAGTGGATGTTTACTGGTTGCCTGGAGTTTTCTTAAATTAAACTCCTCGCAATGCGGAGAGAGCCTTAGGCAGCTGTAAAACACTGAATGCACAAGTGCCTCCTCTGCCCCCGCAGGCCTGCTCCCGGCTTCAGCGCAAGAGGAACAGCCAACTTCTCAGTTACAAATGGCCTTCCTCCGAAAATGCCTGGGGGGGGAACACGCAGCACGTGCCAGCACGGGACAAGGCAAACAACAGCTTGGCTCGAGGCTCATCCAAAAAGGGAAGATTCCTTGGGGAGGTCATGGCATTCAAAAATGGCTCCTCTGTATTCGCTGTATCTGCTTCATGCATTATCCAGTCAGAGCTGCAGAATTTACTGACCTAAATACGTGACTCTTTCCTTTCAGCCCTGCGTAAGCCCGTGAGCTGGATTTTACTGCTAAGTAAATTCTGATAGCAGATTTTTTCACTGTTAGTAATGCGCTGAAGTGAGAAAAGAAGCCAGCTTGACTCTCCGTTTCCAGCGGAAATTATTTGGGCAAGCTGAAAAGCTACTACTTAATATCCAAAAAGCGAGGAAGCTGACACCGGAGAGTCAAAAACAAGCGCAAAAGCCCACCTGCCTGTTTTTCCAGAGGATAATCTCACTGATGCGTCAAATGTCTGAGCCGTCAGATACCTCTTGGACGATAACAGAGTGTTAAATATTAAGTGCTTTGCTCTCCTTCAAGTAAAGTCAAATTAAAGGGCAGCCAGAACAGCAAGGATCAAACATGCATGGTAGGAAAGCAACCTTGGAGCAATTTTAATCTATTAAAAGCAAAGGGATCAGGCCTGCAGGAGGAAATGCGTCAGGTTCCTCTGAAAGGCTGCGTGTCTGTGGTCCAAAGGAAAGGAAAGGCATAAGAAGGGCCGTGCAGGGTCTTGCATGGCGGGAACAGGCAATCACATTATAATGCTGTTTTGATTGCCAATGATGGTGACCGGCCAGCTCAGTGGTAAGGGGCCAGCACTTGGATTACAGCCGCCCCCATGCACCAACACAATTCCAGCAACGTTTGCTGCTTGGACAGAGCTGCCCATGGCCTTCATTAGGAAGCTAGAGGGGGAAAGCATAGCTATTTCCAGTGCTAAGGCAACCCGGCAGCTTCAGAAGCAAAGGAAAGCAGAGAAGCTCTTCCACATGGAGATGCATGAGCACAGCAATGACGGCTTTTCTCTAGAACCAGCTTCAAATTTGGGGGGGCAACTCTGTATTGCATCCAGGGACAGAGTTGGGTAGCTGCTGGAAAACGCACACACTTCTGTCTCAGAAACCTCAGAGCGGATGGCAGGAGAAATCCAGCAGCTTAGCAATTCAGAGGCCCTATCTGAATCAACGGATGGCTCGATCACAGCCTTCCTGTCCCATCCTGCGCACAAAACGTCCGCACCCTTCGAAGGGCAGTACACCACGCTTTACTAGCAATACAGACCTTGCAATGTAACGGCTGGTGGCTGATCGATTCAGACAGCTGGGAGGAGAATGGCCAGGACCGCTGGGTGTACAATCCAACCTTGCTGTTCAAGGAGAGAGAGAGAGAGAGAAAAAAAAGGCACGCACTTGTTACAAGCCACAGAGCCAAGAATTCGGCTGGAATTCATGAGATAATCGATAAGAGACTGAGTAACACCCGGGAGGTGGGGTGCAGAGTTCACGCCGGGGTGAGCGCATCTTTTGTGGGCCAAGAGGGTGGTGATGCTGTAGGTCATTTCCTAGCAAGAGCAAGGGAAACGAACCACATGGGTGCCTGGGTACTGGCAGCTTGGTGGGAACGAGGATTTCCCCCAAGAACCAAGGAAGGAAACTCAGAGCCCCCCCTCACCCCAGGCTGCTAAAGGCAGCCCTCCAAAACTCTGCTCGGGGATGCCCAGTGCGTTCCCTGATGTTCGCAGCGACTGACTCCTGCAAGTGCATGCACATAATTAAATTGTCCTTGACTGGCATATGAAAGAGGGAATTAAAAAAAAAAAAAAAGGGGGCCTGTATCTTGGAGCTCCAGGTGGTAAGAGTGCAGCTCAGTCACTCACCTGCCAGCCCGAGTGTGTTACCGAATGAGTGAGTGGAATTTGATAGCGTGTCAATGAGCTCTCCCTTCGCTCGAGCTGTCACTCGGCCCGCCGGTGACGGCACAGCCCCATCTGTTCCATGTGCAAATAAAACGCTGGCGCAGTCGCAATCCGGGAGCGGGTGTCACATGCCTGTCTATCAGAGGCATCAAACAGCCCAGCCACAGGGCGAAAATGAAAGCAGTCAGTCACTGCGAACATCTGGACGGCGAACAGATTGATACAATTTGCCGACAACTGGATTTGATTTTGCTGCAATCTAATGGAATATTAACTGGGCGCTTAAGTTGCTGTTCAATGTATTTTGCATTTTTTTCCCCTCTTTCTTAACTTTACTTTCTTGCTCCTCACCCCTTCCCCCCGCCTCCCCACCTTGCCGAGCCCGTCTCGCTGTGGGAGTTTTGACAAGAACAGCTAGGCACCTTTTCAAATAGTTTTCAGCGTTAAAAAATGCACATAAACTAGCTTGCTTGAAAAGAGGTACTAAAACCAAAACATGTTGGAGTGGAAAGGTGCTAAAAAGTTCAAGCGAATCTGTATTGAACCTAGAGAGCAGAAGGTGTTTAGCATTTTGCAAAACTTTCACTTCTTGGGGAATTAAAAACAAAAAAAATCCATGCTTAACTAAATGAATAAATAAAGCACCGACTTAGCTGTTCCTGCTTTGATAGGGGCCCACGTGCGAGGCTCCCGACACCCTGGAAATGCTATGAATGCTAGCATGAAGCCGATCCTACATAATGAACTGTACTTCATATGCCTACCGCGAACTCGCCCACACCGGGGGCTGCACGGCTGCAGGAGAATAAAAACAACTCTCATGCTCCTTTGGAAGTTGCTGGGGTATTTGAGAGCCTCCACGATCCAGGCCACCATTCATCTCAAGCAGGCACTTAGCTTTCTTTGGGACCATTTAAGCACTTTGCTGAATAAGGATGGAGCAAAGAATTAGCATAAGTGCTCTGCTCTCTCCTCTTGACCCTATGTGCAGAGGGGATGGAATAAGGAGAGAGAGAGAAGCAAACATTTTTGGATATCATGGGCACAGTTTTCAGACGGCTGTTTCCAGCAATGTTTTCCCAGACTGGCAGGAGTCCGAGATGGCAGCGACGCGTCCACCTGCAGCTCAGTCCCTAGAGCGTTGGGCTTTAGTTGCTGGTCTCTTCTCCAATATAAATCAGGCACCCACTTAGGGTTTCATTCCTCGTTCTCCTATCCTCGCACAACGAATACACTATGCTAAGATCAAAGCTTTGCACTTCGACAGCAGCCTGGCTCCGACCGTTGCAAGGTGTTGGGCAGACACCCTGCACAAGGAAGCCTCCTCTTTCCTATGTCACGGGGGAGAGTGGAGGCAGTAAAGAGGTGCTTAAATAGTGCTGAGCCGGGGACAAGTCCAGCCAACCAAGCCAGGAGCTGAACTCAGGGCTGATACGCGGCAGATGTGGAGAGGGATACACATGCTTATGCGGTAGGTGCTTAGGTGGAGGAACCATTGCTGCACTGCAATGGCTGGACTGAGCTGTCCAGCGAGACACCAGGATGCGACAGATGCCTGCTCTGGGCCGCGGAGTGGTATAGGAAGGGAAAGTCAGGCTGCAAGGCTCTTCATTACCTGCTGGCAGCCCTCTCCACTTGTCGTGCTCCATCTCCCCCCGTCTTGACCCAGCATGGTGCATGGACAGCTGCAGGGGAGGTGGGGAAATCATGCCCTCACTTCAAAAGCTTCGGAGACAGCCCAGCTCACAGCTCAGGGCCTGAACTCTCCAGGAAAGTCAAGTCCGGAGGAAAGTGTGCCCGGCTGAGAGCCGACAGCCAGGCCTGGGGAGCTGAGGGAGGCTCCATCATTTAGGTGCAAACAGCCCATTCGTGTGACTAATGGGGCTCATAAACGTGAGCGCCTCTCTCTGCCTATGCAACCACGCCAGCCGCCTGGGCACCGGCCCACACAAAAGAGCCGCTTGGGTGCAACCCGTGAATAAAAAGCAAAGAGGGCACGTGCAGAGCGCCTTTCACCCGGCCTCTGGAAGCACTTTCAGGAGGCTATTTATCAGCCTCATTTTACAGAAGGGGATATCGAGGTGAGGCAGAGCTCAAGTGATCCCTCGTAAGGACACGCTAAAAGTAAATTCCTAAACCGGGACCAGAGCCTGCTTTCTGCTCCACTGGATTCCCAGATTAAAACGCCAGGAGTGGGGAAGCGTTGTTACACTCATCTACTCTGGCCTCCCCTGTAACAAGCCCTTAATTAGGTCCAAAATTGGTGGGCTGACTTAGACAACGAAACAACTCATAAAAGCATCCATGCCGGGTTCATTAACGACAAGTGGCACAGAGCCTACCTGATCCCTGATGAAGGTGCTCCAGTGCTTAATTGCCCCGTGTACCTGGCTGCCAGCTTTAACTGGGGCAGCTTCAACTTTCAGCCAGTGCCTCCCTCATTATCTTGTCTGCCAGATATCAAACGGTCTCCTCTCCAGGTAGGCACTTAGAGACTTGCGAGTACATCGCTGCAACCCTCACTTTGCTAAGCTAAACTAACTATCACAGCGTCTAATATGTTTGTCAGACCTTGGATTTCACATCTCAGCATCTATAATACGTTTCTCAGACCTTGGATCGCCTTTTGCCATTCTTCCCAGTTTTCAACATCCTGTTTTGAGTGCAGCCATCAGGACAGGACAGGCTATTTCAGCCGTAGGTCTCTCGGCTGCAGCTTTTAATAATGCCTCCAGATATTTAATCCTCATGTGCAATTGCATGCAAAAGGCGTTTCTAGGTTACAAATGCATTCCTGCACCCGTAAGACAGGCTCTCTTTTAAATAATTTGGGCAGTCAAGTCTCAGCCATAGAGGAGCCATTATGGAAAGACAGATGCAAACTGTTTCCATGTAGCGCGTTTTGAATTTACTCACACACACGGAGCCAAAGGATTACGCATGGACTGAAAACACTTAAAACTGCCAAGAGATTACGGATTAAAAAATGTGCTACAAGGCATGGACAATGCACATTTTGCCCTGAGGGATTTTCCTATGAATAACTTACTATGAATAGCCCCCCCACTGAAACAATCTAGAGTCATTCTTTCCTCCTGAAAAGAGTCAGGGGTGGGGGGAGAAAGGATGCCTGGAGTTTTTAACTGATTTAACAAACCAACAGCTCAATAGCGGGACGAGACGCTGCTTCCGAGCGCTGCTTTCATTTTCACAAAGCTGCCTAATTACTTACCCAAAGTAGAGCAGCTCTGAAAACTATTTAAAAACTGCCTAAATATTTACCCAAGATGGAAACAGTCCATTGGGTACATAATGCTCTTGGTTAAGAAACTGCATAATTATGTATTTAGCCTTTTCCCATTTAACAGTCTGCAAGGGCTGAAGTCTAATCTCTCTTTTTTAATACAGCGGGATTTCCCCAGGAGAAATGGCTTCCAGCCCCATTTTATTTTAAGTGCAAAAGTAACATTTTGCAAATCTCAACAAGCCTCTAGATACCCATGGCAGGGTTAACACCCATCCAGACATGACGAAGCTACCCCGCGCTTTCAGAAGCTTATGGATGCCAGCAGGAAATACTGTCAAAAAAACCATCGGACTGAAATGCTCTGTAGTCACCGTTTGAAAAACAGGCCCCTTGTGCCGTGTCTCAGGCCAGTCAGCCAGAAAGCGGGACAGCCACAATCGCTGAACATTTGGACCGCTGCAATTAGCACTTACACTACACTTCAAAGAGCTTTGCGTCTCAACGATCACCTCCAATGCTCAAGGTAAAGTCTATCTATGCCCATGATTCCCAACAAGGGTGCCACAACAGCACCCTGGGGTGCCTTGAGATCCTTTCAAGGGTGCCACACAACATTAGGTGCGCACACACAATTCATGAGATAAATCCAGAGATTTCAAATAGGAATCTACAGTTGTGATCTCAGGTTTTTTGCAACAGAAAAACTGCTCCATTATTTTTCCGTAGCCAGCAAAGAGAGTGAAAATGAAAAGCTGGCATTTTCCAAGAAGTGCCTTGAGCCTCAAAAGGTTGAGAAGCACTGGGCTACACTATGCCCATTTTGCAGTTGGGCATACTGAGGAGGAGGACATGAGCAGCTTGGCTGAGCCAGTGCAAGGAGGAGGACTAGAGCACAATGGTTTTGGGCTCTCGCTGGCACAGGTAGGATGATGCCCCAGCTGGGCTGCCCAGGTGTTTTGGGACCCTGGCAGAGTGTCAGAGGTACACGTGGCAGCAGAGTACGCACGGCACATTCCCTCTGCCCTGTGGCAGCAGCGCAGCAGGTGCAGGGAGCAGCGGACGAGTTCATTTCGTAAACAGTGGTAATGACTCCAGTCCTCACTTTCTCGACTCTTCTCACTACCTCTCGTTAACGGAACCTGCTAATGCCGGGGTTCGCGGTGCAAACGTGTTTGCAGAGCCTGCCCGCGCCTCCGCAGCCAGC